CAATTTACCTTCCGTTTTGTCTTTGGTTTTGGGTGAAAATCGAGCCGCAAAAACCGAACCCACCCATATTTCTTATAAAATGGGAAAATTACTCGGAATAATCTAACTTTTACGTGCACTTCCAAACATAAATCACACCTTTCATTATTATGTACTCCGTATAATAATCCCACCTTATCGCTAGTATGCGTGTTTTCGATCTTTGTTTGGGAGCTAATGGTGACCTAACAGTCTTTTTAAATAAAAAAGGAAAAATTAACCAAAATAATCCCAACTTTATCTGGACTTTCAAAAATAATCCCATTTTTCACTGTGATGCATAATAATCCCAACTTTATTGAAATTTGCCAGTTTTGGGTCACCGTTAAGTTTCTAACGGATGATTAACGGAAATGCCCGTTTTAAGCAACAAAATGAAAGTTGGGATTATTTTTGATGAATTTTTGTTTTTTAATTTTTTTTTGAAATTTTTATATAATTTTTTTGAATTACTTTCAACCTCCATTTCTTTTTCTTTTTTAAAGATTATTCTTACCTTAGAAAAAAAGAATAGATATAAAAAATAATGAAAATGAGAAAAATAACTAAACCATACAAAATTAATCAAATAAATAATGTAATCAATAGAAATTAAACAGAAACTGGTAAGAAATAAAATAAATATATACGGAGTGGTGGGTTTTCACATTTTACACACTATACGGAGTCTGAATGTACTACTTATTTTTTAAAAGAACAAGCCGTCCGGTAAAGTTGGAATTATTGTAGATACTTTTTTCTAAAAAATAAGAAGTGATATGTTAGTACTTTGTATAATGCGTAAAATATTGAAACCCACCCGTATATTTTTATTTTACTTTTACCAATTTCAAGTTAGTTTTCTTTGATTACCTTATTTATTTTATTATTTTTGTATTATTTTAGTTACATTTCTCATTTTTTCATTTTTTATATATATTATTTTTATTTTTTAAACTAAGACTAATCTTTAAAAAAGGAAAAAGAAATGATGATGGAGTTAGAAAGTAATTTAAAAAATTTAAATGAAAAATTTAAAAAAAATGAAAATTCATCAAAAATAATCCCAACTTTCATTTTGTTGCCTAAAACGGGCATTCCTGTTAACCCTCTGTTAGAAACTTAACGGCAGACCCAAAACTGGCAAATTTCAGTAAAATTGGGATTATTATGCATCACAGTGAAAGGTGGGATTATTTTTGAAAGACCGGGTAAAGTTAGGATTATTTTGGGTAATTTTTCCAATAAAAAAAGCTCATTTTGAGCAACAAAATTAAAAGTAGAATAATTTGAAATAATGCTTTAAAAATTTAATAGGCACCTGTCAGAAATGTTTGTGTTTTTTAAAAGTGTAATGGTTTAACACTTTGTGTGAGTATAAGTTTATAAAATGGGAAAACTATCTAACTTTTACACATTCTTTAAAAAATAATACACTTTTCAATATAACGCGTAATAATCTCACCTTTTTTATGTGCATGTTTTCATCACCGTTAGGGAGCTAACGGTTACCTAACATGTTTTAAAAAAAACGATCATTTCAGGCAACAAAATGAAATTTGAGATTATTTGGGATACATTTATTTTTTTTAACTTTTAAAATTTAAGAATTTTGAATAATGTTTTAAAAGATTTAATAGTGCGCTCTTGGCAGAGATTTGTGTGTGTTTTAAACATGTGATAGCTTACAACTTTGTAAACACTTAATAAAATACGGAGTAATTAAGAAACTAAAGTTGAATACAAATTATTGACTTAATGTCGTCTCAAATAAATATATTTATGAAATATTACAAAATTACAAAGAGAAATATATAATAAATCATTTTGATTTAACATTTTAATATTTTATGTTTACTCTATACAGGTATTTTTAGGGGGACAAAGGTAATATTTTTATGAAAAATTATGACATCACTTCATTTTTAATTATTTTTATTAAGATTGATGATGGTGACGCTGATGATATATTATTATTAGTAGTAAAAATACTGATAATAATTTTAAAATGATTCATATGAAAAATACATTTACAATATTTTGGTTCAAAGAATTTGAAGGAAAAACCAAATTCTTCCCATTTTGGTGAGGAAAATGAGAGAAACCTTTTTTTTCAAATTCCTTGAACCAAACATAATGTTAATGATTTTTTGAAATCGAAAAAAATTGTACTCCGAGAATGAATTATAACATCATTACTTCATTGAGGGAAACCAATAGGAATTTGAAAAAATTGAAAATAGTGAAGCTAGGTAAGAAACTAAAAATTAAATAATTAGATAGAACTTGAAAAATTATAAGAAGCATGGAAGAGTTGAAAGGAAATAGAACGAATTCAAGAAATAGAGTTTGAAAAATGTTGTAAACTGTATCTAGACCGTTGTAGCTAGGAGTAGTGTCGTTTTTTAATTTTGAAAATTAGTTTTCGTTTATAGATACTGGGCTGGGCTATTTGCTGTTAAACAAAAGAAGTGTTCCAAAAAACACCACTTGTTCATGGGGTATGTACTATGTACAAGTCAAAGCTTTAGCCCATTCCAGTGCGAAAGTGTATACGCTTAACTCAAAGAAAGCCTGGCATATATTGGGCCATTTGTAATCCATATGATTCCAATATCATCCACCACGTACGTTGTAAAATAAATTGGTGGAAATTAGTATTCAACCCGTGTCATGTACGGAATGGAACGAATCTTATATTTTTAATTTTGAATTTTTTCTTCGATACAACATTTTTTGAAAATCGAACAAAGTAAAAATCGACGTTAAAAATTAAAATGTTGTAAGATCTAAGGCTTGAAAAATTCAAAAAAACTAATAAAATCTGAAAAAACATGAAGGCATTATGATAAATAAGTTGAACTTTACTCCCAATGCCGAAAATGCACTACCACAATGTAAAAATGCATCATGATATATATATATATATATATATATATATATATATATATATATATATATATATATATATATATATATATATATAGGTTCTGGTGAAAATGCAATCTTAGGAGAGAAATGAGAATGAATCTAGTGCTTTAGATTGTGAGATCTAAGGGTCAAGATTTCATCAAAATTAGATGCACCAAAATGGTGCGAAAATGCATCACGTCGAAATGCACCATAAACCTTCGAAAATGCACTATCTCAAAATCTGAGCGCATGATGCAATCTGAGCCGTACGATGCATCAGATCCGACAGTTAGATTTTATTCTCATTTCTCTCCATAAAGTGCATTCTCACGGGAACCAGCCTATATATATATATATATATATATATATATATATATATATATATATATATATATATATATATATATATATATAGTTTTGTATATAGTGAGAATGGGATCTAATCAAAATAATGAGAATGAATGTGACGCATTAGAGTAAAATTTGAGAGCCATAAAACTTAGAAAAATAAGCAAAAATCTAAAAAAATGCAATGATATGCATATGTTGTGTGTACCCTTTAACTATGTATGTGTTAATTATTGTTTATATATATTTTAGCATATATTATCAAACCCACTTTTAATGGGTAAGTTTATATTTTCAAAAGTCACTTTACTTAAAGTAATACTATAAAGAAGCTTTTGAAATATATATTTAGCATATGATTTTCTTTTGGAAATTGGGTGTGCACTGAAGAAAGATCTAACGATTTTTAAAATGGACCATGACTTTGAGACGGGGCACGCCTAGTCGCCTAGATGCTATATTAAGAAAATTTTTTTAAACTCGATCCTGGTCTAGCTCATATAACGAGTCTAACAATTAATGTCCAAGCCTAGCCCACAAAGCTACTCACGAGATTCGGCATGGAGTAGTATTTAAATAAAGTAATGTGTTAATATATTATTTCATTCTTCTCACAATATCTTTCTCTTTGATTTCTTTTTTCATCCGTCTCAAAAAAATATTTCTCATTTCTATTTAAAAAGTCTAGCATTTTTGAAAAGTCAACACCAAAATACACTTCCTTTAAATCTTTTAAAAATCAAAACTAGAAAGATTTTATGGGACGAAGGGAGTAAATATTTGATACAATTAGGAGTAAAATAAATATATTATCTAAGGATCAACAAATGTTTAAACTTTGCTTTAATTTCTTAGTAATTTTTCAATACATTCTCTACCTATTGAAGTCAGTTGAATTATTCCCCCCACTGGGGATCAAACAATAGACCTCTCGCTTAAAATGAGTCGTCAAAATTGACACCGTGGAATTTCCCATGTTATTGTATTAATGCTCTCTAGTACTTCATTTGTCTCGAAATAAATTTTCACAATTAACTGTGCATGAGTACTATTAAAATTGAAAGTTTGTGGTTGAGTTATGTGTAAAAGAAAAATAATACTCCCTTCGTCCCCAAATAAACTTTTCTTTTTAACTTTTTGAGGATTTAAAAGAGAGATATTTTTGTGTTGATTTTCCAAAAATACCCTTGATGTGATGTGTAAAAGCAAGATGTGATATGTAGATTATTAGTAAAAAGGTATGGTGTAATAGGTAGGGTATGAAAAAGTAAGGGGTAAAAGGGGTTTTTAAGGGAAAAGAAAAGTTTATTTGGGGACAAAGAAAAAACAAAAGGGGAAATTTATTTGGGGACGGAGGGAGTATGTGTGACTCGACAAAGTTCCGTTGACACTGAAATACGGTGACACTCTGGTGTCACTGTCTTTTTGGAGCAACTCTGATGTTTTGTTTACGAAATTGATGGTTTGTAATTGTACCCTTACCCCCACCCTCTTTGCTCTTCCAAATGTGTGGTGATTTTGCATTGCATAATAGCAACACATTTGGAGTGGGCAAAGGTGGGGGTTAGGGTGCGGGTTTCAGGAGGATTAGAGAATAAAAATAATCATTTTATAGTATAATATAACGCTTGAGGCATTTCAATTGAATGAGTGACATCCGCTGATACTGGATATATGTTATTGTTAACGCTTTAACGAAACTTACCGATATGAACTATGTAGTTTCTTCTTTGAATGAAAAAAAAAGTTGAAAGAAACAAAAAGATAAGGTTAAAAGTTTAAAACCCTTTATGAAATAGATAGGGTAGGAGAATGCTAGTAAAATGATGATGAAAATGCACTTGTCTAGCTAGCGTGGATTGTTGGAATTAAAAATATTCCTGGGGCAGGGTGGAAATTATTCAAACACTTGACGGGCTTCAACCGTTATAATAAAAAAAAAACACACAAATTGATTTTTGACATTTTGGGGTGTTGGAACTTTTCATTTTTTTCCCGTGTAATTATATAATCCCTTCATTCCTTGGCAGTCCCTCCACGAAACTCCTCTTCCACCTCCCTGGCTAATAATTACTTAGCTATGGCTCTCACTCTGTTTTTCTTGGGTGCCCTTGTTGCAATGGCCTCAAATGTCAGTTGCGATTCCTCTGAAGAAGGGTGGGCCGACGCCAAAGCCACCTTCTACGGCGGAAGTGACGCCTCCGGGACAATGGGTACGTATGCATTATACCGGTTTTGCCCTTTAGCTGTGTTTAGTACGTCCGTTAATATAACTCGACCTTTTGATTTTCTTTACACGTACAGGAGGGGCTTGTGGTTATGGGAATTTGTTCAGCCAAGGGTATGGCACAAGGACCGCAGCCCTGAGTACACCTCTGTTCAACAATGGCCTGGCCTGTGGGTCTTGCTATCAGATTAAGTGCGAGGACAGCCAATTTTGCCGGGGAGGCTCTATTGTCGTGACCGCCACTAACTTTTGCCCTCCCGGCGGGTTGTGCGACCCCCCCAACGTCCACTTCGACCTCTCTCAGCCTGGCTTCATGAGCATTGCCCAATACAGAGCCGGGGTCGTCCCCGTCTCTTACAAAAGGTATTCACTCCCTCCGTGCTAAAAAAGAATTCCTAGTTTGACCAAATGTAAAAATAAGAAAGTGTTAAATTGTAGTTTACTTACAATTTTGCCCTTGATGTGATGGGTAAAAGTAAGATATGATGGATAGATTATTAGAAAAAAAATATGATGTAATAGGTAGGCTATGAAAAAGTAAGGGTAAAAGTGATTTTTTTTAATAGAAAGTGAAATTGTTTTGTTGGAAGTGACAAAAATGAAAGAAGAAGTGTTTTTGAGAACTCATTTTATTGGTGAGATGGATTTTCTGTGATGAGAGTAATTATATATTATTTGCAGGGTGGCCTGTCAGAGGAGCGGCGGAATAAGGTTCACCATCAACGGACACTCATACTACAACTTGGTGTTGGTCACCAACGTGGGCGGCGCCGGAGACGTGCACGCGGTGGCTGTGAAGGGTTCAAGAACCGGGTGGCAGGCCATGTCGAGGAACTGGGGGCAAAACTGGCAAAGCAACTCGTACCTCAACGGACAAGCCTTGTCGTTCATGGTGACCACCAGCGACGGCCGCACTGTGGTGTCTAACGACGTCGCCCCGGAGGGCTGGTCATTTGGTCAAACCTACTCCGGCAGCCAGTTCTAATGACACTTTATATAAAATAAAATTGTACGAGCGAGTAGTAACTTAATGGTGGTGTTTGTTACGTTGTAGGGTCAAAATGGGAAGGCTCGGTTTGAGAAAGCCTTCGCCATTAAGGTTAAGGCTTGTTTGGATGCCCTGATTTATTATGAAGGTGTTCCGATCAAATCCTTCTCCCCCAACTCCTCCTTTCTTGCTTGTTTTTATCTCGTGAAATGGGCACCGTATACACTCTCAATAACTTAACTTCTTTTACTAAATAAATGCAGACCTATTTAAGTTTGGATTTGATTTTGAATGAATGTATCGAATGTATCTGATAATTCTTTGTGAAATTTGCACTAAATAGGATTAAAACATAATCACTTTCTTAATTTAGGATTTAAACTTTTTTATTCCCTAAATAGGATTTAATAATGTCTTCGTGGAATGAATAATGCCTAGCAATGATAGACATTACTTGAATAATGACTAAATAATAATGACCAAAGGTCCTACATTCGGAAATAAAAACATATGGTCCTATTTTGGGAAAGTCATTATGTTTAAGTCCTATTTAGGTAAATTACTCTAATTCTTTATGGTTTTTGATATATCAGCTTTTTATAAATTCTATGTAACTAAAATTATATTTAGCATGTGATCAAAGATGGCATAAATTTTTTTATAAATTTAATGTAATTAAAATTATGTTTAGCATGTGATCAAAGTTCGCATAAAAGTAAAATTATGAAAAATAACTTGGGAGGGAGGGAGCAAGTAATTATTAGTAATTTATAGTATTAATTTATTAGTAGATTGTTGATAAAAACTTCTTTCCCGTTTCAAATTAGGAGTTTTGATTGAAATAATGTTTAACAAATTTATTTAATCATACATGTAAAACTTAAATATAAAATTAATACATTTAAAAACTATCTTAAAAGATTTACAAAATAAGTTGCTTGTTTTATTAAATCACTGACGAACCAAAAAATAAAGTGAATAAATTTGATTATATAAAGAATAATTTAAATGAAAGTTAAGATTGTTGGACAAATGGAGATATAGACTAGCACATTAATATTCTTTTTTATTTCAGAGTTAGAGCATCTCCAACAATATCACTTTGACTTTCTAAAAGCTATAAAAAACGCGAATTTAGCACGAATTTTAGGTGAGCCACCGAGACTATATGGGTGGGGGAGAGAGCTAGATATGTAGGTGGAGAGAACGACATAATTTGTTCAACAAATTTGATGTTATGACTCACAAAGACATCATGATTTTCTAGATCAAGTGCATGGTAGCGTTTTTGGCTGAAAGGCTAGGGTAGAGAGTGGTATTTGGGCTTCAAACCCCTCACGAGGTACTCATAGATGAGGCTCCACCCTGAGGGAGACTATGAAAGGCCTTTAGTTGTTTTATAAAAACCTTCCAACATACTCCTCTGATTACTATGCATCGGGTCCCAGATCAATTGGATCATTGATTTGTACCTTCAATCGTACATGCACCTCGAGATTCCATATTAGATCTTCGAGAGAGAAGCCCCCATATCTATTCCGATTCTGGATCCAGATACGGAACTGGAATGGGCTATGCCTTCACCTATGCTATTAAATTTCAAACCAAAGCATTTTTTGTCTTGAAATTGAAAAAGAATAGGCCCTGGATATTCTATCGATGATTCCGGAAAGGGTTCAACCCAGGCAGGCAAAGTCCACATCAATGCCTTGACAATGAATTCAGCTTTACCACCCCCCAACTTACATCGCACTTTCACTGGAAATGGATTGAAGCCCCGGTATTTTAAATTCCGGCTTCAAGCCTTTATTTTTTACATTTTTAATACACATTTTGTAAAATTAATATAAAACTAAGGCAAATTATATTTGGCCTTAATCTTTTTTTCTTCTCTCGTAAAACATACATTTGAAACCCGTTTGTTAGTTCCATATTGTGTTGACATTATTTTTTGACAAACGAATAGATTTATCTAGAATTATTTTAGAGGTTTTATTTAGATCTAGAGTCCCAGCATGTGCAGAAAGTGAAAGAGGAAAGAGCTTGAAGAAAGAATTGTAATAATGAAATGTTACTTTAAGAGCCTAGTCTTTAGGACTTGAACTCTTAACTTCCAGTTCCTTCCAGTTTCTTTCAGTTTCTTTCTATTCCTTCCACTTTCTTCCAGATCCTTCTAGTTTCTTCTAGTTCTTTCCAGTTTTTTCCAGTTCCTTTTAGTTTCTTCCAACTATTCTCATTTTCTTCCAACTCTTTCTACTCTCCAACCAATTACACTAAAAATGATACTCCCTCCGTCCCAAAAAGTTTGTTACGTTTAGAAAAAACTGCGTCCCGTAAAGTCCGTTACATTTCTATTAAAAAACCACTTTTACCCCTTACTTTTTCATACCCTACCTATCACATCATACCTTTTTTTTAATAATCTACCCATCACATCCTACTTTTACCTATCACATCAAAGGTATTTTTGGAAAGTTAATACAAAAATATTCCTCCCTTAATTTCCCAAAAAGTCAAACCGTCCCATTCTTTTTGGGACCGAGGGAGTATATTTTAATGTGATTATTATTATTATTATTATTATTATTATTATTATTATTATTATTATTATTATTATTATTATTATTGTTGTTGTTGTTGTTGTTGTTGTTGTTATTATTGTTATTATTATTATTATTACTATTACAACTGCTATGTTCATAACTATAGTTTATACATTATTTTTTTCATCTCACTATTTTATGATTCACACTCATTATTTTTTTCTTTAATTTTTTAATATGAATAAGACAATATTTTGTATATTAATATACATGATAAAACAGGAAAACATCAATATGTTAAACTATATTTAAAAAAATTATGGATAAAATAGTGACATAGAAAAATACTAAAATAGGAGTAAAATATAAAAAATGTAAAAAAAAAAAAGTTCTATGTCTTTATTTCAAAAATAGGACTTCAATGAAAATAAAATGTCAATCATGAAAGAAAAAATAGGCTTGATTACATTATGTGACATGTTTGATATTTAAAACAAAATCTTGTAATATATAAAGTATAATTACAAATATATTATTTATAATAAATACTGCATAAATAAATTGAGGTGCAACGTAACCACAAAAACTTTTTAAAATTTAATATTTTAATATTAATGCTAGCTTTATATTATAATTATTTTTTTGCTAAAGTAGTTTTTTGTATTTGAAAAATAACAATACTTTTTTTGTATCTTAAAGGCATTTATTAAGATAACGTGATGATGATGATGATGATGATGATAATAATAATAATAATTTATAAAAACAAGAATTTAAAATAAATTTCTTAAAGTTTTTTAGGTTTTCCAATTTTTTGAAGTTTTTCCAGTTTCTTCTAGTTCCTTCTGGTTTCTTCCCGTTCGCTTCAGTTTTTTCCAGTTTCTTCCAGTCTCTTCAAGTTTCTACCAGTTCTTCCAGTTCCTTCCAGTTCCTTTCAGTTTTTTCCAGTTTCTTCTAACATCCAGCTCTTTTTTTCAGTCCTAAAGAACATGCTCTTAGTTTACTATTCTTGAGAAGGAAGTCATGGTTGAGATTCCTAAGTACACTCTAGCATCGCCGGATTTTTGAGAGAAGGTGCAGTTGAGAAGAAGGTACAGATCCGATCAAAAAAAGGGAAGAAGGTGCAGTTTTTTACAATGCAAAATTTCTTGACGGCCTGCACAAATTTGAACATCGCCAGATATCCGACTGTTGGATTTTGCTGAAATTTTGAGAGAGTACTCCCAACACATAGGGCTTCACCCTGTTCAATTTTCACGTCAATCAAAGTTACGAATCTGCTATTATTAAAGTTATGATCCACATATTACCGCTAATTTATTGCAAAAAACGCAGCTCTGGTTTAGTCGATGATCGGAGTACCAAATCTTGTCTGATCGTGTTGAAATTAAAGGAGGAGTCTAAGGACTCGTGAAGCTTCAATATGAAAGGTGGAGATCAAATTCCAACAGTTCAATCTTGATTTATGAGCTTCGGATCAGCGTGCATATTTTTGTAGAGAAAGGTAGAATCTTTGTTAGAAGGTGTATTAGAATCTACGTCCTTGAAGAAGATCTTGGAGAGGGTGTAACAAGCAGTGGCGATAGACGCAAACATAGTTTGTTATCAAGTCATTCGTAAGTAGACAAATCAATACATTAGAAATTTTTCTTGTGATTGGTTGTGTAATTCTTACAGTGGTTTAGTGAAAGGGCTGTTAAACGGATGTGGACCTCGCAGATGTCAGAGAGTTGCTCCAAACTACGTAAACAATTCTTGTATATTGTTTACTGCTTTTACTTTATATCCTGCATGCGTGTGTGCTTGTGACAAAAAAGATGTAATAGCACTATGTCTGTCATCTGTTACTGTGACAGTGCTCCATAGTTGTTTGATCTGTTTGCGTAGTTTTCAATTGGTGATTTCCGCTGCACCCCCATGAACTTACACTGTTAACATATCAAAGTCGGTTTCCATTAATTCGAGCTCCTCATTCTCTTGTCTTCGTTTTCTCTCTCTTCTTTCCTAAGATTGAACACCAGCAGTTGTCCAAACATTGGCCCGCCAATATTATCAGAAACAGAGCTAGACACTACCAAACCCGAGGCAATGAATCTTACATTCTTTCTTCTGATCGGCCGTGGAATGGGGTCATCGGAGTCCTTTGTTCCGACGAGCTGATAGTGTCATTGGCCTCAACCTCGACGAAGGATCTTTTCTTTGATAATCCAGCCTCGGGGTTGTTGAGTTGTTGCTATTTCGGTGAATGGCTCAAAATTCTCCAAAACCGATGGAGACTTTGCCTTGGTGTTCGTCGTCTTGTTTGACTCGAGCATGGACGGAGAAACGGAGGAATCGAAGGGATTCATGTTAAAAATAAAAAAATATTTGAATAATTTTTTTAGAAAGAGGAGAGAGAGAGATTTATGTTTGTGGTGTATGTTTAATTTTATTGAGGAGAAATTTTTTTCAAATATGCAACGGTATTATAGCCGTTGGGGAGGGAGGGGACTGGGTTAAACGTTTGACGCATGCAGCTTAACGCTAAGATGAAGCCCTACGGGAGCGGTGTTTAACACCGGGGGCGTTATAATTTTTAAGGTACACATATTTTAATTCTAAAAATATTCCTCGGGGCAGACATGAAATTATTCAAAACTTGGCCGAGTTCCAGACTTCCACCGTTCAAATTAAAAAAGAAAAAAAAAACACACATTTAATCTGTCGACTTCAACTTTTTGTCGTGACAG